CTGGAAGTTCATAGACTCATCCTTGGTAAATCATCTCTACTTTTCTGGCCCTTTTTGCACAACCCGGTCTTCTCTGGGATTTTCTTTCCTGAACAATGGTGAGGAGGGATGGGAGGAGAAGAAGGAMATTCCATCCACTTTTTTTGGGTCTTTGTTTTCAGGTGAAATCTATCCCCTATCCACCCTCTCTGCTTTTTCTCCTTCATCCTCCAATTAATCCTTTAACAGGGCTTTAATTTTTACCTTTATTCTCTCTCTTTCCTCATCACCTCCTTTCCAAAGGAACCAACACGTGTTTTCACTTTTGCTTCATCTACTTTTTCCTTGTTTTCTCTCACCCAAGATGCCTTCCTACACACCCCCCCCCAGGTTACTGTAAGGATAAAAATGGAATCTCAGATGTGAGAAGACTTTGAAAAGTTGAAAGCCCAGTTAGCATTGTGCGGCATTGTGATGACGAGGATGCTTCGTCTGTTCTTTGAGGCAGCTCAGTGTGCTCCTTCCCTTGTATCTTCCTGTCACATCCTTTCAAAGCCGAGCTTCATCTTTGGCCCTCCCCTCGCTGCCCTTAACACAGGCATCTTCTCTGGTTTTCCATTCACTCATCTGTAACACGGTCTTGCTCCTTCCTCCTTTATCCAAGTATCTGGTTTTGACAAAGTGAATTCTGCCCTATTTTGTGATCAGAAAAAAAAGCTATATATCCCATCTTTGGCTCCTGGTTGCTCCCTTTTTCTTTCTCCAGTGTTCTGGTCGGAATGATGAACTTGCTTCGATTCACGTAAGCCTGCTACCAAATGTGTTCAAAGAAGCAGATTTCATTGAGAGTGTTTTGGCAGCCACATTATCGATTCCTTGCTCCGGGTTTCTTTTTCATTGCACTTACCTGTGTTCTCATTTCTGTAAGAGGCAATTAAAAGAATATTGGGCTGGGGCAAGTACATTCTTTCCAGAGTGCCTTCAGGATGGAGGGAGTGTTGTTTTTTGTGTTGACAGAAACTCACTTGTTCTCCTGGCAGGGAGCAGATGAATGAGAAGAGAGATGAAGGTGGAAGATCTGAAAGGAGATGGGATTTGGATGATGGGGTTTGTAGAACAGAAAAGAGGAGGACAATAATTGGGGTTTAGATATGAGGTGTCCCCCAAAAGCACATGTATGAGACCATGCAATAAAGTTAAGAGGTGAAATGATTGGATTGTGAGAGCCTTAACCTAATCAGTGTGTTAACCCACTGATAGGGATTAACTGGGTGATAACTGAAGGCAGGTTGGTTGTGGATGGAGGAGGTGAGTCATTGGGGCATTTCTGATATATACTTTGCCCCTGGTGAGGGGATATCTCTCTCTCTCTCTCTCTCTCTCTCTCTCTCTCTCTCTCTCAGGCTTCCTGATTGTCATGTCCTGAACTGCTCTCCTCTGTCATATCCTTTTGCCATCATGTTCTGCCTTACCTTGGGCACAGAGCAGTGGAGTTGGCCATCTCCAAAACCATGAGCCCCCAAATAAACTTTTCTTCCTCTAAAATTGTTCTTATCAGTGAATAAGCTGATCAAAACAACACCATACAGATCCAATGGCAGAAATTAAAGGAATTTCTACCAAATGGCATGAGTTGGGAAGTAAAGACTTAAGCAAATTGCTGAGAATAAGAAGGATGGGGTCTATTAGGAGGCTTAAAATCAGATCAGCATAGTGACATTGTTGACTTCTGGACACACGGAAAAAGTACCCAGTAGATCCAAGGTTAAGAATCATGAGCTTGTCAGGGCTGGGACTGTAGCTCAGTGGTAGAGCTCTCATCTAGCATGTGTGAGGCCCTGGGTTCGATCCTAAGCACCACATAAAAATAAATAAACAAAATRAAGGTATTGTGTCCAACTACTTCTAAAATATAAATAGTAAAAAAAAAAAAAAAAACAGAATCATGAGCTTGTTGTGGCACCAATTTGCTACCTGTATTACTCTTCTCTTTCATTGATGTTTGGGTTCATTCAAAGTCAAGGTTTTATAAAAGTTCCGTAATGAAAAAGTAGAAGGGGGCAATGGAATTGAGGACTTTATAAGATCATGATTCAAATGAAGGATTATTTAGTTCATATTAATATAAGACAAAATGGCAAATGTGAAGTTAAAAAAAATTAGATGAGCCAGGCACAGTGGTGCATGCCTGTGGTCTCTGCACCTCGGGAGGCTAAGTCAGGAAGACTGCTTGAGCCCAGGAATTCAAGACCAGCCTGAGCAATATAGCAAGACCCTGTCTCAGGAAAAAATAAATTAAAAAGGAGCTAGTAAGCTATCAGATTGGACATTTCATGGACGTAGAGAACCAGGTGGTAAGGAAAAAAAGACAGTGAACAATCTGGAAAATAGGATGTAATAGTGATCCATGGATATGAAAGAATTTCAGCCATGGGACAGTTCTCAGTAATGATCCAGACCTGGGTSCAGCCATTGGATGTGAGTAACAGAAATGGAATGGAACTAAATTTTGTGACGATGAAGAAAGAAGGAAGCATGAGGCTGGACGTTGGCCAAGTCATCCCCAATGACATTGAAGTTTACCAGGATAATTGAYGCAAAAAAGCTTCAATTAACCAAGCACAAATGCCTCTCCTAAAAATAAGTCTCACTAAAAATTGGTCAGAGAATATGAAAGTTAGTAGCTAATCTAGCCAGGTAGCCTTTGCTTTAAAGGGAGAAGGGTTTTTTATATGAGGGTGSAGAAGAAATAGCCCACAAGGAGCAAGAGACTACTAGAAAAGTGTTTGCATTCCCATAGAGATATGGAGCTAGAGAAGGGGGCCCTAGGAGTCACAATGTTTCCCCCAAATCCAGGAGGAAGATGCAGCACACTATGAAGAGATTAAATGGTGTTTACCATGGTTCCAGGTGACACTTCCATCTGGAGAGTTGGAAGGAAGGTCAAAAAGGGAGAGATGAGTCACACACAGAGGAGGTAGGACATGAAGCCATAGCACAAAACAACATGACCGTGACAAGCCAAGAGAAGATAGCTACCAAGAAGGGCTTGCTCATGACCCAGAAGATGTCTGGAGAGCCTCAAAGGCGGAGGTGGAAGGACTCTGCAGGTTCACCCCACACCCCACGAGACTCACATGTGATACGGTCACGAGTGGCTGCGAGATGCATCAGTGACAGTCCCATCAATTTTTCCCCTTCTCCATATTTCCAAGACCCATTTCTCTCTTCTCAAACTTATTGCCATGCCTCAAGCTTAGATTGATGCACATTGGTCCTGGCTGGGCTTTACCGTGATAGACTTGCCCTCACCCATGACCCCTCCAGTCTGCAGTTTTCAAACTAATCTTTATTAAGCACCTCTTTCCCCATCTCCTTCTCTTGCTAATAAAGAGAATAAATGGGCTCTTTTGTGAGCAGAAACGTCACAGAAGCCATCTAATAATCCTAGCACCTTTTATCCCGGTATTTTCTCTGGTATTACTTGTTTATCTCCCCAGTTCTAAAGCTGACATCAGACGCACTGCCACAGAGGATTTATAGCGTTTAATAAAGGTATTTCTTGGGTTCATCTCRGTTGAATCTATAATAACTATTTCTCAGTACAAAAAGTCATCATCTTGCTTGTCCTATACGGTTGAAGGAGAGTCTATACATTTTCTTTTTACTATTTAAAAGAAATATCCAATCTTGGACAAGCATCAAATAAGGTCTTCAATTTTTTCTGAAAGTAAATCTTTTGAGTACATATTTTGAGTCTTTTTTTTTCTTTTAAAATTTCTTCTCTTTTCTCTCACCTACTTCACCTTCTTAGAAAAAAACAAATTGCTCAATGATTCCTTCATGGTATTACACATCTTTATGACTCTTTTATCTAAAGAATAGCATATAATTTCTCTGAACTTTATTGGATTGGACTAATAGCTAATGTGTAAACAAAATTGTTCCTCTATATATTAAGGTGATTCTTTTATGTTAGGTATTCCTTGGCCTTGGAGAGCARCTCATGGACATTGGCCTTGCTGCAGTGGTACAGTTGTGATTTTTTTCTCTGTACGGTCATTCCTTCACTATTTCCAACACCAGGAACCTTTATCAAGATAACAATAAAGCATCCACATCTATGTGTCCAAGCTCCTACTTGTCTTGCTTCTTGCCTCCATTTCTCTAATTCTTGCAAAATAAAATGAGATAATTTTTTTTCTGTGTTGTGAATAGTAGGGGAGGAGATTAATATGATGTAAAATCCAGGAGGCTAGAATTAACTGAATCCTGACCCTACTGAACACACCTCCCAATAAAGTCTCAAAGAATAAGATATATATATATATATATATATATATATATATATATATATATATATATATATAATCAGAGGATAAATCAACCCAGAAGGAACCACACCCACATCTTGCTTTTGGACCCTTTCATATCCTCACTCTGAAGGTTTGTAGATCGAGGCCCAGGAACCTAAAGGAAGCCACAAAGTAGAGATCAGCATCCAAAACCATTCGTAGGATTCAGTGAGGAAGGAGGGGTAAAGTGATTTTTTTTATATGAATCATGCTTCCTTTTATCTGGGATTTAAAACCTGAAAGATGAGTGTGGCATGGTGGCACACACCTATAATCCCAGTGAACTGGGAGACTGAGGCAGGAGGATCACAAGTTCAAGGCCAGCCTGAGCAACTGAGTGAGATCCTGTCTCAAAATAAAATAAAAAATAGTTAGGGATGTAGCTCAGTGGCAAATCACTCCTGGTTCAATCCCCCAGTGTCAGAAAAAAAAAGATAGATGATAGATAGATAGATAGATAGATAGATAGATAGATAGATAGATAGATAGAAAGAAGACAGTTGTGGTCTCCCATGAAGACAAAGAGTCAATAAATGAGGCTCAGATATGGGTTCAAGCACTCCTGAGTTTGAGGGGTGACATGGAAGTATGCCTTTCCTTATGAACATTAAACACACAGATCATTCGACTCAATAAATRATAATGCCAATTCCATGCTTCTTTTAGGAAAGAAACTCGGATATACATTCAACAACCGGAACTTTCACAATGTGTCTCTGGGACAAGGACAAGAGGTAGTGGCTGAGGCTGCTCTGGATCTAGCTGCCAAGAAAGGCCACTGGGTTATTTTGCAGGTATGGCCCCTTGCCCTGATCTGGGTCAGTCTTGTGTGCCTGTTTGAACTTCGTCCCCAAATCTCTGCATTTCTCTGCACACTCTTACCCTCTCGCCCACCTGTYCTTCCTTACCAGTGTCTCTCTTTTCAATTCCCTCACTCACTACGTCCTCTTCCCCACGTCATCTCCAGTAACTCTTCTCCCCACTCACCTGCTCTACCACTGTCTCTGGCTTAACTCGTTCTGCTTACAAAATAAAGTGAATTTCCACTTTGATGCACATTCAGAAAGTTGGCATTAAGTTGWAGGCTTGGTGGCTTGATTCTTTCAGTTKRGGATCCCTTCTTATGCATTGGTGTTACGTRTTAGACTCTCATACCTACAAGTGTGACTAGAACCACCTTAGCTATTTCTTTGAGAGCTCATGTTGGTGTTTGGAAATCTAGAATATCTATTGCTGATAATTTCACCAGTTCCAAGGGGGGCAAAAGCTGCCACTCTTCTAGCAAAGTTTGTCCTCTCAAACCTCTTTCATGCAATTCACATAGATTCTGAGGCTGTGGCAGAACAAATGGCTTATTCCTCTTTTCTCCCATAGCACTCTAAAATCACTTCATTCAACCATCCATTGCTATGTTGGATGACATGATTTATTATATGRTTTGCCCCATCACTAGGTTTCCTTAGGGAAAGTGATGTTCCTTATTTAATTTTTTATCACCAAGCTCACTGCCTTAAACATGGTAGATGTCCGACACAAGCCTGTTGGGTGAATCAATAAAGGAATTAAAGAGCTAGACGCAGTGGTGCATGCTTGTAATTCCAGTGGTTCTGGAGGCTGAGGCAGGAGGATCACAAGTTCAAAGCCAGCCTTGCAACTTGGGGAGGCCTCTGAGCAAGACCCTGTCTCTAAATAAAATATAAAAAGGGCTGGGGATGTGGCGGCTCAGTGGTTAATTGCCCCTGAGTCCAATCCCTGGTACAAAAAAAAAAAAAAAAAAGAAAAGAAATTAAAGAACAAGTGAAAATACCATTCTCTTCCTGTCCTGGCTTTCACTTCCCTGCACTTTATCTGTCTCCTGRTAACTCACCGCATCTTATCTTGCTCCTGAGTCTTCATCCTGTTATTTGTGGGGATCCTAGCAGCTGAAGGATCTGCCKTTTCCTGGGACTCCTTTTTCAGAAGCTGTGGAAATCCCAGGATAAAACATGACAATTGCTTCCTCCCACAAGCAGGGAAGTGTGACCCCACTCTAACATCTGAGGTTCATTTGCCAAGAGACCCCATCCTGGACACTGATGCCTTTGGAAACCCAGACATCAGCATGGAGTCTGATTCTGGGACTGCAGTCAGTTCTGCCTCCAGGGAGCCCACTCAGATAACTAGCAGAGAGTTCTCTCCCCCAGCACCTGCTGCTGGCCAACCCAGACTCCCATTTCTTGCRCTGATGTGGCTCCTGAGAGCTCTCAAAGGTCCCTCTTTAACCCTGCTGACTGGGYGCTTTTAAGGAAAATCATTTCTCCCAATAAGTACCACACAATCTAGATGATTACCTTTTCCCCGTGAATGCAGCATTTTTTTGAGTACCGACGAGATATGACTGTGAAGTGGATCCCTGTTGGTTTATAAAATCTCTCCTAGGACTCATAGCTGCCCCAGTTTTAAGAATCTTCAGGTATAATGAACTAGACTGGACCGGAGTCCTATTGGGCAGTGTCTCCAAGCCCAGGAACCCCGAGAGAGTCTTTGAAAAGAAGGGAAAACAGTTAACAGGTTCCTCTCTCAAAATGTRGAGAACACTCCATGATGTCAGTAGGTGAATGGTTCGGAGACTCCTGTGGTTATAGAAGTTTTGTTTAATCCAGTGTTTCCCCCAGAGTATCCAAAATGTATTATTACCCTTTGGGAAATGCCGCTGGAGGATCCCACCCCAAAGATGTCAGGGGTCCTCTCCTGGGGGAGCTGACTTCTGGGGAGCTGGTGTGGGACTAAGGCTGGGGCTGTCTCCGGTCTTCCTTCCTGGCTATGGTAGCCATGAGCTTGGTTTCACAGACGCTGGTCATGGCATATCCAGGCCCCTAAACCTAGTAGGGCAGACTTAGATCCCTGAATCCACCCAGGCAACAGTGCTTCTTTCTCCTAGCCCTGCCTTTTCCTGCCTGGTAGAGAAGGTCCCAAAGAAGCAGCTGAATTGAAGCGACTGCCACTAATAGGAACACTGGCTCTCCAAGTAGCCCACTAAATTCTCTGCTCCAACAGAGTGATTATAAATGAATTTTTAAACAAATTTTCATTTAAAAACCACTACTAACCCTCACACAGCCTTTWACAGGATAGAGAGCTCTTTCAAATTCATTACCTTTGGTTATTTGCAGAAACTCTGTGAAATCAGTATGGAAAACATGATTGTCATTTCTCTTTCTATAGAGGAGAAAACAGCACTCAGAGACCAAATAACTGTGGTCCTAATACTGTGCTCAGTGCTGATCTGTGTATTTAAGGCTCTGCAAGCCTATTTCCTCCAATATTGATCGAGGAACTTTTATCTATCCATCATAATGAAACATATTGCAATGAAGCCAAGTGAGTATCTTTACCAAAGTGAGAGGTGCATTCGGCAGAGTGGTGCTAAGAAATAAATGTAGGTTTGAATAGGAAGACAAGCAGACAGACAGATAGGAATCCGATTCGAGAGAAGAGAGGCTCAAAGACCAGCAGAGGAGCTTCAGATTGGAGTAGGGAGCCTCCCTGGGTCTTAAGCAGCAATGACTCAGTGTGTTTTAGAAAGATAAGTTTGGCAACAATTAACAGAATGGTTTGAAGTTGGGGAGAGACGACTCTGGAAAGCTAGCTAGAAGAAGTTCAAATCAGTGCCTTTCAAGTTTTAGCACGGGTACAAATTACTGGAGGATCTCATTAAAATGCGCTGATTCAGTAAGTCTGGGTGGGACCTAAGATTCTGCATTTCTGACTAGCTCCCAGGTAATGCCAACAGTGCTGGTCCATGCGCCCCCTTGCGACTCTGAAGGGTTCAAATATTGGCATCACCTGGTAACTTGTTAGAAATGCAAGTGCTCAGGCTCCACTCTTTTCTTTAATTTATTTTTAATAGCTCGTTATAATTATGCCTAATAGTCTGATTCATTATGACATATTGGTACATATCAGGCTCGACTCTTGACCTACCAATTCAGAAACTCTAGTGTTAGCCCCAGAAATCTGTGTTTTAGCAAGCCCCCCAGGGGATTCTCATGTGCAGCCAAGTTTGAGAACACTGTGCTAGAAAAGATTGACAGATGATAGGACTAGAAGGTCCCCATAACTGGACATCCCAAGACTCTTTCTGTGATGTGGGTTAAGACATTTCTGCTGTCGAAAGGCATTTGGTGGCACAACAATGTGGGTACACATAATGCCATTAAACATTTAAAAATGTATCCACTTAAAATGGTTGAAGTATTATGTCTGTTTTACCACATTATCATTGGTTCTTTTTAGTTATACATGACAGCTGAATCCATTCGGACTTAATTATAYGCATGCAATACACCTTGTTCTAATTCAGACCCCAGTACCTCTCCTTCCCCTTCTCTCCCCACTCCCAGCTCCCTTCCCTCTGTGATTTATCTGCTATTTACCCATAGTTATTTTTTAAAATTAATTYCTTGGGTTTTTWAAATTTTTTTTAAAAAAATGTACACAATGGTGAGACTCACCGTGGTATATTCATATATGTACATAGGAACAACATTTTTTAAAACTGTGTTAAACTGAAGCCACGTGCCCCTCTAGCTGCCTTTCAGATGACTGTTTACTGTCAATATAACTAAGCAGAGACMTGAATTGTGGGGTTTCCTTTCTGCCAGAACATCCACCTAGTGGCCAAGTGGCTCAGCACCCTGGAGAAGAAGCTGGAGGAGCACAGCAATGACAGCCACCCTGAATTCAGGGTCTTCATCAGTGCCGAGCCTGCCCCCTCCCCTGAGGGCCACATCATCCCCCAAGGAATCCTGGAAAACTCCATCAAGATCACCAACGAACCCCCCACTGGCATGAAGGCCAACCTGCACAAGGCCCTGGATAACTTCACTCAGGTACTGCCCTGGAAGGGAGGGAGGAAGAGCATCCCACCTCACAAAGAGCTGATTCAAGTTGGGTGGAAAAGAGTATGCACCCGGGCATGGGACGGGATGCTGATTGGCTATGCACCAATGCTGACATGGATGAAATGTGTTCCCTGGGTGACTGGCCTCCACCCAGCACCCACTTGGTACAACCCAGCTCCGTATATCAGATGCACCTAGAGGAACTGAGCATAGGACCATTCTTTGGAAAACGGTGTGGGTGAACTTTCTGCAAGTCTACTGTACACTGATATTCCAAGATGGCGAAGAGCATGATGCTATAAATCTAATTGATTTACACACCTGTTGGTTAAACAAACCTGTTGGCTAAACATCCTGTCTTCAATCAGGGGAAGGATGTTCTCATTCAGTTGATGTCATTTCCCATCTACATGCATCTTGAGTATCAAGGATTCAAATAATCTAGGTGTCAAGTGGTATTAATCTAGATTGGAATACAGCCACATGCTAGAATCTTAAAGTTGGGCCCCAGACCGGCAGCATCAACATCWCCTAGGAACTTGTTAGAAATGTCGATTCTCAGGTACCACCTGAGTCTACTGAACCAGAAATTGGGTTGGAGTCCATGAATCTGTACTTTAACAAGCCCTCCAGGTGTTATGCATACATGATCAAGTTTGAGAACTCTGCTCCAGAGAGACTCAGAATGTTAAGACATATGATTCAAAAACAGACTGCTACATTACTGGAATTTCCACTACTGGAGATTCCAAGACTTATAAAGTGGTTATTTAAAGCCAAGCCCACTATTGGTGGCTGATCCTGTAGCATCTGTGAATTCTGCAGCTCAGGTCTTTTCCATCTTTTCTGGAAGGCACCATTTCTTGTTGCTTCTTCTTAGGGGAATTCCACTTTCCGGAAAGGTGAAGACATAAAGGGCAAGGGGGTGGGGGGTGTGTGTGGGGGGGTCACCTTAAAATTCATCCACCACACCAAACCTTATTAGAGTCTTCGGATACGYTTCTAGGAGTTATCAAGGAGGTTTTCCTCTATGATGTCATCTTATAATAGCACCAAAGACACTCTGGTTTCATAGAAGCCATGCTAAAACTTATTGTCCCAGACAGGTCACCTAGGAACTGGAGATGGACCATCCTGGACAGGACAACTGTTCCAGCTAGGCCAGTGAAAACCAGCAGAGCCACTGACCCTTTGGCGCCTGGCTTGGTTTACAATATGTGGCAGTCAGGAGTCTAACAGGATTTTATTAACTGCATGATACTCACATAGCATAGGAGTCTCACAGTCCAACTTGCAGAAGGAAGAGTCACAAAGTTCTGAAAGGCAAACTTACTCAGTATTCTTTTTCAGTCCTTTTTCCAACTCAACTCCAAACCCCCACACATCATCTGGAATAGAGAACGAGAGGACATTACAAAGACATTATCAAAAAATTCAGGATATTCTAGCTTTGAGTTTTTGATAATAAACATCCTGCCTGACACATTCCCTTATCCAGGGAATTTTCTTTCTTTTCATTCTTTTTTTTTTTCTTTTTCTTAAACAGGCCTTGGCAAACCTCCCGGATACTCTGAGCTAGAGTACAAAGGTTAAAACCTCAAAATTTTCTAGCTACATTTCACATAGAGGAAACATAAATTAATTTTATTAATTTTATTGGTACATTAAAATTACAAATAAAACTGGGATTCATTTTTATATATTTGCACATGTGTCTAACATAATGAGGTCAATTTCATGCCCCAGTACCTCCTGTTTCTCTCCCCAATCCCTTCTTCCCATCCCCATTCTTACAGGTCTCCCTCCCTTTTTTTGTCTTGGTTTTTGTCGTCGATGTTTGTTTTTATTTTGTTTGGTTTTGTTTGGGGTATGGGTGATTAAAACTGGAAGTGCTCTATCACTGAGCTACACTACACCCCCAGTCCTTTTTATATTTTAAGACAGGGTCTCACTAAGTTGCCGAAGCTGACCTTGAACTTGYCATCCTCCTGCCTCAGCCTCCCAAGTAACTGGGATTACAAGCATGTGGCACAGCTACTGGCAAAAAGCATAAATTCTGAAGTTTTAAATCTATAGTCTTTCTTACAAGAGGTATAGCTGGTTCAAGCAGAGATAATTCCATCCTTGAAAGACACTGGATTGCAATKCGATATGAGGGCACAAGATGCCTCTGAACTGCACACACAAAAAAAAAACTGGAGAAAGTGGCAAATTGTATGTCACATGTAATTTGGCACAATTCTTTTTTCTTTTTAATATTTTTTAGTTGTAGTTGTACAYAATACCTTTATTTTATTTATTTATTTTTATGTGGTGCTAGGAGAGCACTCTACCACTGAGCCACAACCCCAGCCCATGGTAGAATTCTTTCTTTTAATTAAAAGTTGGGGGAATAAAAGTTATTAGGATGCAATTAGCCAGCTCTGTCAAAGGCTCCAATAGCACACCATTCTCGACTCTTCAACTTGAGGGTCTTAGGCAGTCAGGARGAAGGCAGCAGAGCCTCACATACCACTCCTCTCAATGATTCGTGTTGGGCCTCAGTAGGATTATTATCATCTTTAGCCACACCTGGCTTTGGTCCTCCTCCACATGGGCCACTGTGTTTGAGTTTTCTCCCTGCAAACTGATTGTCYAATCTTCATCATTGGACAACTGGGAAGTATATCCCAAAAGATGCTGTCTATTTCTTGTTATCCTGTTCCTACAACCRTTGGTTTGCTCATCATTTAGGGTCACCTTTAGTAACTCATTCTGACAAAGAGAGATAGCTCTATGTCTATATTCACTGGTTACAAGAGTTTTAATTGCTCCATTCTACTTTCATGAGTGCCSGGGAACAGAAGCCTCTATAACACTAACCCTGTTCCTTCAGAGCCCCATTCTAACCACCTAAGAGACAAATCCTAGAAATGAAACACTTTTTACTCCTGCTTCCCTGGTAGCCATGCTGTTTGGAGATGATGATTTTATTCTGGCTTTTATGTGAATATGCCATAATCAGAAGCTTGAGCATTTTGATGTGTGATTTTTTTTATCTTTGTGCTTCAAGGCACTTTTCAGCAAGACCCAGTTTTTTTTTTTTTTTTATGTGTGAGAAGTAACAAATGAAGCTTCCTACATGTCTGTAGAGAACAGCTCTATCCATAGAGCAGTTATGAAGTTTTCACTTGCACAAGGCAATGGCCTCGTCCTCTGTACCAACTCTGACCTTTCACACCAATGCCTTTGTGACAAGCATGATGACTGTATCAGTCAGCTCTTTATCACTCTGACAAAAAAAAAAAAAAATCTGAGACAATCAACTTATAAGAGCAAAGATTTATTTGGGCTCACAGTTTCAGAGATTTCAGTTCGTGGTCACTTGGATCCATTGATTCTAGGCCTGTGATGATTTAGAACGTCCTGGGGGAGAAGGCATGGTGGAACAAAGCTGCTCACCTCACGGCATCCTGGAAGCAAAGAGGGATAAAGAGAGACAGGAAGGGGCTAAGGATGTGACTCACCCTCCAAGGGCACACCTTGAGTGCCCACTTCCTCCAGCGAATCCCCACCTCCTTCCACCACCTCCCAGTAGCCCACCAATGCATCCATCCACTGATGATGTCAGAATCCTCATGATCCAGTCACCTCCCAAGGGTGCCTCCTCCAAACACTGCCACATTGGGGACCAAACCTTCAGCACATGAGCTGTTGGGGAACCATTCAGATCCAAACCATAACATTAACCAGTTGAGGCACTGCAGAGACCCCACGTGTCCAGAAAGAGACAGAAACTGTGTCCGTGGGTTCTCCATGGGGACAATTAGACTCACCAAAAGCCCACTGTCTTGCCTCCTCGTCTGCTGCTGCCCATGTGAGCAAAGTCAAAAGACAGAGTCCTAGAAGAAATGCCAGGACTGAGCTAAATTCAATTAGTGGGCGACTTGAAAGTGTCTTTCTTGGGCTCCAGCTGCCACCTCTTGCTCCATCTTGAACAGAAAATCTCACTTAGAGGATGTTATTTTTAATTCCAAAGAGTTCCGGGGTTCCAATCCTATCATCCCTTAAAAATATAGGCATCCCCCCTCTGTAGCCACATCACCATCACCCTGAAAATCTGCTAAGCACAGCCTCATTGCTTCCCTTTAAACCATCGCCTGCTTCTATTTTCTTCCATCTCTCTCTTCTTTCTTTCTCCTTTCACTAGCTAAATCTTTTCCTGTGCCTCCTGCTATTCAGCCAAGAGTTCTCCATATTCTGGTTTCCTCAGCCTCATGTTGGGTCATCCATGCTCAGGTTTGGGAGAGCAGTGAGGAGGTTGGAGATCACAGCACTCCTCCATCTCTTGTAGTTCTAGTTCCCAACCACTCCCTCATCTTAGCCATTCCTCCAGCAAATGAGCTAGGGATTCCTTAGTCACATAGGCACAGCAATTACACCTACTGAGGCTTCATGATAAACAAGAAAAGTATGGCAGGAAGGGAAGGTTTAGAGATGATACTGGGSGAGTCCCCAACCACACCCCAGTGCACATGGACATTGTGGTCCACTACCCTGTTTTCTATTCATTATGCCAGCTAACCTCATTAGTACATCCATATCTGCAAATTTGAACTATAAACCAAACCTGAATGTAAACCTTAACTCAAACTCAAAGGTTAAACTAAAATCCAACCCCTCTACAAGTTCTCTCAAGTTTGTCCCCCACATATCTTCAGTGAAATCATCATCTGACTATAACTCAAACCCTAACCAGGATGAATCACAATTATAACCCCAGAGCCTGRCCCAGGGAAGGGAAGCTGTTGTGTCAATATTGCAAACAATGCTTTTCYTTTCAGGACACTCTGGAGATGTGCTCCAGGGAGACAGAGTTTAAGAGCATCCTCTTTGCTCTTTGTTACTTTCACGCGGTGGTGGCAGAAAGACGGAAGTTTGGACCTCAAGGTTGGAATCGGTCCTATCCTTTTAACACCGGAGACCTCACCATCTCAGTGAATGTGCTCTACAATTTCCTGGAGGCCAATGCAAAGGTAAAGGAGAGGGATGCAGGTGTAAGTGAGGAGGGTCACCTCTCAGTTGATGTGTCATTCCCAGAGAGGCCTGTATCCTACGTGAGTGGGAAGAGGGGGTGTAGACCCCAGGGCCAGTCTGAGACTGAGAAATATCATAATGAAATCAGAGGCGAAGAAGCTAGAAACCCAAACTAGTGACTCACGCCTGGTRTGAGTTGGTCCCATGAGATTTTGTCCGGGTACCCACCAGACCGCTATGTGTACTCACAGCATAACAGGTGGACTATGGGTTGGCAGGAAGAGACCTCATACTTAGCTAATGTGAGTTCCCAATGTAATTAGTCAAGGATGAAGACCTTGTCTTGGGCATACAGCTCTTCACCCTATGGTTTTGCCAAAATTGAAGAAGGAACCAAATCYTTGCTATACCATCTCTTCTGTTCTACTGTGATAACTCAGATTCAGGGAAAACTTGCACTAAAAATTGATGATCTTCCACTTAAAGGAATGTTCAAACCATCAWGTCTCTTCTTGTCCATGGATCAAACACAGCATCAGCAGGGCCAACGCCTCTTCCTTTTGGGGGGAAAATGAATTGGACCAACATGCTCTAGGAAATCCTTCTGCCTCCAGCCCCCTAGGTCCTGGGAATTCCACCTGCCCATATCACTATTTTTTCCAAGTGCCTGCCCACCCTAACTTTCATTTCAGTGAACTTATAACTTGTATTTTATTCACTTCAAAATTCTAAAGGGAACAATTAATCTTGTCATTAACGGCAGAAAATTAGAAAAGTTCCCTGGGTCCTTGCTTCCCTCCATCTGACACTTACCTATTTAAAGCACTTCTAGGAAGAGCCTGACTTCAATGTCACGGTTAATGACCATGCGAGAGGGAAGGCATCTGTGTGAGGGGTTGGCACCTTATCTCTTCTTGCCCTTTGATATGTTTTCTCAAGTGTTAAGGTGAACTTAAACACTTAGATAAAATGCCTTTCACTTCTGGGCACTGAGGGTAGGCAAATAAATAAAACGTTGCCCTTCCTGTAGCTCATTCTCTGTCCGCATGTCAAGCCAGCCCCAGCATCTGCGTAAGGATCTTTCTCTCCTTCTTTCTTTCCCTGTCTCTCAGGTACCCTATGATGACTTGCGCTACCTGTTTGGTGAGATCATGTATGGGGGCCACATCACTGATGACTGGGACAGGAGACTCTGCAGAACCTACCTGGAGGAATTCATTAAACCAGAAATGTTAGAAGGGGAACTGTGTCTGGCCCCAGGGTTCCCACTCCCAAACAACTTGGACTACAATGGTTATCATCAGGTAAGGCTCTGCTCTGTGTACCCCATATCATGATGGTGCACACAAGGTCTAGGGAATCCTCCCATCTGCCCGACATGATCAGGACTATTCATGTTGGGACATGGCTACAGGCTTGAGGCAGGGTCCTGAGAAGAGGGGCTTAAAGAGGTGAGTTTGTATCAACTTTGGTTATTCACCCCAAGTTTCTCTTATTCAACTGAAGAGTGAATTTCTGGTCTAGCCTCACATGAATTATAAAATTGAGACTTTAGAGATCTTTTTTTTTATTTTAGTCATTTGATTCAATAATTCTACTTGTTGGGGCTGGAGTTGTGGCTCAGCGGTAGAGCACTTGCCTAGCATGTGTGAGGCCCTGGGTTCAATCCTCAGCACCACATAAAATAAAATAAAGATACTGTGTTCATCTACAACTAAAAAATAAGTATTTAAAAAAATAATTCTCTTTGTTTTTCTTTTTTTGCAAGTAGCATCTAAGACAGTTGTTTGGTTGTTTTTATTCAGGATATTGACAAAGTCATTATTATTTCAAGTAAGAGCTTAGCAAATTTTAAATAAAGTTTCTAACAGTGATTCTAAATAACTTTATACCATCTGTGGACAGATCGCTTTCCCCTCCCATTCTCTGTTGATGCTATGAATATAGGCATCCATATCCACATGCAGGAAAATAGTTCTCATAGAGATTTTTCTTACTGTTACTTTAGTTTTTCACATACTATTACTACAGCTATTTTTAAAACATTCAGCTTTGCCTGCTTAAACTACTTCCTCTGCCTTAGAAAACACACTCAAAGATAATTTTTGGAAAAAAAATATTATTGCTAGATTTTTGAACATGCCTAAAAGATCTTAAATTTACCAAAGTTTATACCAAACCCAAGGAAAATGTTGATCATAGAAATATTAAGTTTAAGAGAGTTAATTRTAAGTTATTTGATCCAGACAAACCATACCTATGAGAAGAAATTGAAAATAATAAGACTCCTTAAGGAAAATAAGAGGAATTGGGTTTTGTTAGCTRTCTTTAAAGGCAGCAAGGCTTTACCCAGGAAAACGGTGCAAGAGCATCCCCTAGTGTCCATGGGATAATTTGACAGGGGGCTGGAGCAGGGGATGAGCCAAAGGAGATAAGCAAGTGGATCTGAATCTCRTTTCTGTAGTAGCATGGTCTGTACATGTCCAAACAACTAAGCTGGGCTTTCCTTTCTTTACAACTCTCTTTCATCTGTGAGGGAATAGATTGTTGTAGGACATCAGGGCCCAGGATTGTCCTGAGTGCTGGAGGAAATACAAAGATAAACATGCAAATTTGCCTTTAACAATGAGCAATGTTTACCTAGGTGAGTCGTCACTAACACAAAGTAATCATCAGAATCATATTTGGAGCGTAACGTGGGAGATYGTTTATCATTATTATAAACAGATTTGTGAAGGAATAGTCAAAACATCCAGAGGAGAAAGTGACCCTTATAAGCTGAGCAGGATTTTTAAGGCATCGCAGACTGTGGCCATTAGATRTGTTGTTGTTTGGGAGACTCACTTTTTTATAATGTTTTAATTGCAATGCTTTTCACCAGGGCTGTGAACTCTTCTGTTCTCAGCCAAGCTTGTTCATCCAACARCCCAAATCACACACTGACTTTGGGTTGCACAGTGCCACATATGTGTTAAAACATGTCATCTCTGGTTAAGGTAAACAGAGGAAAGAGAAAGAATTTAAAAGGAAGAGAATTCGTATCCTAAAAGACTTCAAGTAAAARCATCAGGGGAAAAGATTTCAGGGATCATTTCTGCAGTTTGTGAAAATACCAGGGAGGTATTTATATTTTTAAAATACTATGAGAAGTCCTACGGAAACAAGGATATATCAGTGAGCAGTGGAAAGGGCTGGAAATGGAGATGGATAGCATTGTCTAAACTTCCCCCCAAAAGAAGGGGGGGTGTAGTGAATGTGAAAGTTCTGTTCTGGGAAGCTGGTCTGGCATAAGAAAATAAGTGAAGTCAAGGACGGACTGGGGAAGAGAATGTGCCCCCAAAGAGAATGTGCCCCTGCCGAGAAGGAGCCGCTGTAGGAGGTGGGAGGTGCATCTTGGTTGCTTTTTTAAGTGAGCTTGCCCTTGATTTCAGTACATTGATGCCGAGCTGCCCGCAGAGTCACCCCACCTCTATGGCCTTCACCCAAATGCAGAGATCGGCTTCCTAACCCAGACTTCAGAAAAGCTCTTCCGCACCGTGCTGGAGCTGCAGCCTCGGGACAGCCAAGCAGGAGACGGAGCCGGTGCCACCAGAGAAGAAAAGGTGAGTGGTGGGGATTGCCTAAGATCAAACTGGGGAGCCCCAGGACTGTAGAGAGGCTCCCTACTCCTATTGGCCAGGTAGGTGGTACAGAGCATGGATAATATACACAAGACACAGTACCACCAGCCTGAAGTGTTGGCCCTTTACCTCCAAGAGCTCCTCTCAGATTGGCCATGTCAAAACACTGACTCTCTAGTTAAATCATAGGAAGCCTTTGGGGTGGGCAGTGTACAGGTTTACAGAATATTGGTTTTTATTTGGTTTATCTGCCAAAGTGAAGAAAGACCAGGTGATTTGGGAACCTTGAAAATTGACTCAGGATTCTTTGGCAAACCAAGGAATGGTGGATGCTTCTAATGCTCCACCCTCCTTCTACCAACTAATGTCCATTCTGATAAATACTCCTTTTGATGAAAAGAACTTCTCTTTGAATAACTTCTAGCCAGACTCTCTGAACACCAGTTAAGTGCTTCTACAYGAGGACCTCCTGAAGTTTTAGGAAGGTGGAGGTGAATTATGGTGTAGAAAAGCAGACTTGGGTATGGGTTGAGGATAACTCAAGGCACTTTGGAGGCCCTGTTCCTGATGTGGGGATAGCAGAAGGCAGAAAAGAAAAAGGGCCACCACAGGGAAACTTCTCGGTGAAATTTTTCCAAGAGAGTACATTCGTCGACCCTCATCCACCCATGTCACTACTTGGATTCCTTTAATCAGAGATACTGTTGGGTTAGGGAAAGACTTTGGGGGGATCAAGGGTTAGGGAGCCTGGATTTTCATTGCAGGGRCTGATTTTTAAGAAAGTGAAATACCAAAGGATTTGCACTTTAATGGCATGGAATGCTGTCATCAGAATAGCAGTTCTCAATTTTTAAAATGCCTAAAATTGAGCTTGAAATTCTGACTGTTTAAGAGTTGAGATTGTAGTTAGGTGCCAGAACATTTGCCTAGCATGCACAAGGTTCTAGGTTCAATCCCCAGTGCAGAAGGAAGGAAGGAAGGGAGGGAGGGAGGGAGGGAGGGAGAAAAGAGAGAAAGAAAAATTCTGATTCTAAAATCTATGGTTAGGTGCAGGAATTAATTCTGATGTAGGTAAGCACATGAGAAATCTTTAAATCATACTGCTCTGCCTATTCTACTCTTCCCTATGATATGATTTGAGAATAAAGGAAAGAATATAACCTTCCAGAGGGAAAAGTGTTCTTAGCTGTAAAAATGAAAGGTTGGAACTCAATAAGTATTAGACTTAGGATTCTTCAGGTCAGGTTCAAAGAAGCTTCTAACCTTTGTTGTTTCCTTACCCCTCCCCCAGATAACTCAAGGTATGATGGTGGTGATGGTGGTGATGGTGGTGGTGGTGGTGGTGGTGAATGTGTGTGATGTGTGCCAGAAATGGTAGGAACTGTGATCAACTGCCACTTGTGACACTGTGTGGGAGAAGCATGCAGCCTACTGGGCACATGACCTGTTGTGCAATGCCCCTGTACTCAGCCACGGTAGTGGTTTTCATATCACTCATATCTTCTTATGAGCTCTGTTCCTTCCCATCCATGTAACAGGCCAAAGGAAGGACAAAGAGCCAAAGCTCAGAGACAGTGTTTTATTGTTAGAGATCAAATGACCAGGAATTGCAYACTTTACATACACTTCCAAACCCTTAACCTAAATCTACTCCCAGTTAACATCTCTGTGAAAGGAAGCTGGCACAAGGCTAAGTTGTTGTACTGATAGGAAGAAGAAAGAAAAGTGGGGGGGGGGGTAGGGGAGTTCAGGAGAAGGCAACCAGCTGTCAGCTACTATCTCCAGCTCAATCTAGAATTGTCTCTCTAGGACACAGTGAGTTCAATTGATGACAGTGCCTGAGACACTGCTTCCCTCTGATGACTCTCTTGAGCAGATGTGCTACTAGTCAGGAGGGGTCTGCTTGGGCTGCCATAACAAAACACCACAGACCGGGTGGCTTAAAGAACAGAAATTTATTTTCTAATTCATCTAGAGACTAGAAATCTAAAATCAAGGCATAGGTAGGTCTGACTTCTCTAGAGGCCTCTCTTCTTCACCAGTAGACAGCCACTTCCTTGCTATGTCCTCACATGAACTTTATGCTGAAGCCTTGGGTTTCTCTATTTTTGTGTCCATATTTCTTCTTCTTCTAGGATACCAGTGAGACTTGAGCTTACCTTAATGGCCTCATTTTAACTTAATCACCTCTTTAAATCCCCTATCTTCAAATACAGTCATGATCTGTGATACCGGGGATTAGGACTTCAACATGTAAATGAGGGGCGGGGTGGGGGCTGGGACAATACAGCCCATAGCACCAATTGGGTATATGACTTTCTTTTCTTCCTCAGGGATGAGGTAGCCCTCCAATCCCTCCAATACTGGATTCCTTTAGGCTTAGCAACTAACTAGTAATTGAGAGCAAAGTAAAGTAGGTTCTCTTCCCCCTTTTACTGAACTATACCTCAGATGGCTGAAATATTTTAATGTGAAACATAAAAACCTAAAAAGCACTGGAAACATCTCGGGAGAAAGCTTTTATGATCTTTCAAAGAGGAAGACACTTTGCAACTTAAAAAAAAAATACTCAGAAAAAGATTGGCAAATTTGATGGCTTGAAAACTTTAAAACATCTGCAAAGCAAAAATGATCATGAACAAAGTCAAAGCCAAACTATGAGAGCCTATTTACAGCACAGATATGGGGCATTGAGCAGATTTTTGTAATATATGAAATTCTTACTTATGGAAAAAGAACCCCAGAGAAGAAGGGAGGAAGAAGATGAGCATCAGGAAAGTTTGCATGACAAATACAAACAGCCAATAAAAATGGCAAAATATTCTCAGTGTCATTCATTTCTAGAAGAAGTAAAGTGAAATCTTATTTATCACCTAATCGTGAGGGTTTTAAATTATGATAATATTCAGTAGTGAGTGCATAAAAAATAAGTACTCTTATCTCTGTTGATGGAAGTTTAATTTATAGTATAATTTGACAATAATTTACCCAAATTTAAAATGTTCATATTTTTATTCATGAGTCTATCTCTAAGAAATCATCCAGTGGAAACACTCAAAACTGCATGGGTTTTTTGAAGTATTTATATTTATTTATTGCATAATTATTTATAGCATTAGAAATAGTAATCAAACCAGATATCTACCAGTAGGGAAATGACTTATAAATTTGGGGATGTTTAAATAGTACACACTGTTAAAAAGTCCATTTGTAATAACAAGGGATTGTGTCCAAGACTTTCTATAAGGTAGAAAAAGCAAGCTGAAAAGGTACATAATAGGATTCTATTAGTGGGAGGGAGAGAAAGAGGGAGAGAAAAGCAGGGAAGGGTGGAGGCAGAGAGAGAAAGAGAGAAGAGGCTCAGACATGATGGATGGATAGATGAATGGATAATTGATAAGTGAATGGTGGGTAGATGGATGGATAGATGWCTGGGAGATAGAGTTATGTACATTGAAAGATATCTGCAGGAATAAAAACAAACAAAAAAACTCTTTTTCACAGTGTTGTCCCTTTGGGGGAAGAGTTAAGATTGTGGGAGGGGGCGCTAGGGATGTGGCTCAGGCAGTAGCGCACTCGCCTGGCATGTGTGTGGCCCGGGTTCGATCCTCAGCACCACATACAAACAAMGATGTTGTGTCCGCCGAAAAATGAAAAATAAATATTAAAATTCTCTCTCTCTCTCTCTCTCTCTCTCTCTCTCTCTCTCTCTCTCAAAAAAAAAAAAAAAAGATTGTGGGAGGGGTTTGCTTCTAATGTCATATGTATCTGCAATGTTTAGGTTTTTCTCTTATGTATCTATTACTTTTCTGAAAAGAAAAAAAACAGCTGGACACAGTGGCACACACTTGTAATCCCAGTGACTCAGAGGCTGAGGCAGGAGGATCATAAATTTGAGACCAGCCTTGGCAACTTAGTGAGACCTTATCTCAAAATTAAAAATAAATAAAAAGGGCTGGAGATGTATCTCGGTGGTAGAGAATGCCTAGGTTCAATTACACACACAAACACACACACACATACACACTTTAAAAAAATGCAAAACCATTTACTCCTGGAAACCAAGAAGATTGGAGCCCACTCCTCCTCTCTGAAGGGGTCTGGAGTTCCCTGAGCAAGTGAGTCCCATATTTGTCTGTAACCTGTTCACTTCCCTATCCACCCTCTCGCTTTCCTGGCCGCCTAACATTTCACAGTCTGATCAGAGATGGGATGAAACTCTGTGTCCCCAAATTCAATGTATTTTGCAAAAATACCTCCTGACTGTCTTTTTTCAACTCTGTGAATAAAATCCAAATGGCAGCTCACTGACAGAGGGTTGTTTCTTCAAATTCGACTCAAGACAGAAATATGATATACTGTTAGCCGTTTATCTTCCACTCTGGCAGTCACTTTGTGGTACCATTAAAATTCCATTCCTGTCTTTGCTGTGACAGCACTAGACMCTTTCGTGACGGGGTGATGGGTTTTTAGTTTCTTTTTTCCCAACATCAGCTCCTTTCCTGGAGAATGTATTGTATGTTAACCACACAAGGCAAGGGGGAAATTAATCATTCTTTATATTTATATAGTTCTTTATAGCTTTCAGATGCTGCCACATCCATCAGCTTATTTGATTCGATCTTTGCATCAACCCTGGGAGTTGGGAAATCAGGGCTGATGGAGAGACTCTTAGAAATTTTTATGGATGAAGAACTTGAAGTCTAAGTGACTTGCATCTATGCCTATGAGTCATGCTTACGGGTGCTGTATCGGCCCAGTCAGGGCTCTTTTGTTGTGAGGAACAGMCACTCATCTAGCTGAATTAGGCAAGAAATGGTTCAGTAGATCAAAAAAATTAACCTAAGAAAGAACAAAGACCATGATGGCTTTAAGGTCCCAGGGAGAAAGCAGAGTGCACAGGCCTTCCAAGGAACCTCCATCCTCCCTCCCACTGGATCCATGGATGCCGGGTTTCATATTTTTTTTGCTCTTGGGAAAGATAATCTGACTGGCCTAATTTGAATCAGGAGAGGCTGGGCCCAGTGACTGTCTTCCAGAACAATGGGGAAGAGGTCATTTCTCAAAGGAAATAGGGACCTGCTCCTAGAAGAAGTGGACCAAGAAGATGAACCCATCAAAACAGCAGAGTCCACGGCAGGCATATGGAGTTTGGCTCTCTGGGGACTCCAGGAAGAGCTGGTGCTCACTCACATGCTSTCTCCCGCCCTCTCCCTACATCCCAATCTGCTGGCCATATGGCCTATTATGTCTGCACTTGTTTCATTTTTCTTTCTTTGCTGACAGACCTCCCGGGCTTACTCATTGGCTCCAAAATGGCAGACTCAGCCTCCAAGTGCTTGCCCCCGAATAACCCACAATCTCTGCACCTCAATTCCAATTTTCCAGAAGACAGACCCTGGTTGTTCTAACTCCCTTGGTCTAATTAGCTGACAGTTTGTATGGGGAAAGAAATTGTGGGTAGAAGAGAAGGTTTACATGATGGATGATGGTGCCTCTTCAAGGATAGAAACCACAGTATCACCAAACTGAAACAGAGAACGGAGTGTGTGTGTGTGTGTGTGTGTGTGTGTGTGTGTACGTACATGCATGTGTGACTCCTCAGTCTCTATGGGGATTTGATTCTAGGACCACCTCCCAAGGATGCCAAAGTCCACAATGTTCAAGTCCCTTATGTAAAATAGCATAGTGGGGCAGGTCATATAATCTATGCACATCCTCTTGTATTCTCTGTATCATCCCTAGATTACCTGAAATACCTAAAATAATTTAAATGCTATGTAAATAATTATTATACTATATTGTTTGAAGAGTAATGACAAGGACAAATCTGTACATGGTCAGTACAAATGCAATTTACACACATACACAAACACACACATACACACACACATATATATATACATACATACATACACATACACACATTCATCACTGCTCACATCACTTCAGCTTCACATGACCCACAAGGGCCATCCTAGGTCAAAGTCTACTTATAGCTTACTAGTTTTGTTCCTGTAGCTAACTGGGTCAGCTTCTGAGTTTTTCAATCCCAGTTTTTAAGGGAATCATCTGTGTTAGTTTTTCAAGATGGTCATACAAGTCACAGAGAGCTGGCAAGCTAAGCAGAGGTGCTCCTGCAATCAGTCCTCAACCCCTGACCTAATTGACCTTTGCAAGCACACAAGAGCACAACCTGGAGGCGGAAGGCAGCAGGTGATGGGTGATTGACCTCTCTGGCGCCATATTGCAGGAAAATGGAGTCCTGGAAAATCAGAGTACCCTTCTTAATCGTGTTTTCTGCCATGGGGCAGGTCAAGATCCTTCTAGAAGAAATACTGGAACGGGTGACAGATGAGTTTAACATCCCAGAACTGATGGCCAAAGTGGAGGAGCGCACTCCCTACATTGTAGTTGCCTTCCAGGAGTGTGAGCGGATGAACCTCCTCACCAGAGAGATTCAGCGCTCACTGAGGGAGCTGGACCTTGGCTTAAAGGTGAGTGAGATCTACAGGGGGAGAGGCATGGCTAGAGGACACATCTTTCCCCATTGGGGAAAAAARAAGCAACATGAGAGAACCTAGGAACCAGAAGGCATTTGTTCCAGAGCAACCTAAATGCCCAAAAGATGTTAGTCCAGAAACCAAAATCTGACCATGAAGTTGTCTGGAAGAACAAGATACTGCCCTCACACTGACATTTCTCTTGAGCAAAGAAAGTCTACTATCTTCTAGAAATGACTTAGGCAAGTTGACTTTATTCACTGCGAGGTGATGTCAGGTATCTAGCCTGGAGCCTGTTGTGACTGTTCACCTGGATGACAGGTAAATGGGAGATCTTGCCACCTTTGAGGAACTGAGGAAGGTGAGTGTGGTCCATTTACACTGGCAGGTTTATTAAGAGAATTGTAATCTGGGTCTGGGGCAGTAGCTCAACGGCAGATCACTTGCCTATCATGTATGAGGCCCTGGATTCAACCCCCCAGGGTCATAAAAAATAACAACTGTAATCCCAAACAGAGGGAAAGTAAGAACCTAGTTTTGTAGCTGATGATGAAAACTCACACGAGCCCTGGAGGTCTGGGTGTGCTGGTGGCTTCGTGTCTGGCTCTTGGAGTTATGGCCCCATGTGTGTAGGAAGAACAGTTGTCAGCTTTTCACATAGAGACATATAAAAATTAGGAAACAAACTACAAAATATAGATTACTAGGGTTTTTTTTTAAGAAACATTTTAATTTTCTCTTCCCCCAATATGGATGTAGAAAAAATGAGAAGAAAGATGAGAAAAGAATGGAATGTTGAAGACCCACAGATTTTGCCAGTGTTTCCCAATCCTGTACAGGCTTATAATCAAATGAAACACAAAATGCTACTTAACAATCTCAAATGTAAATAAGGATTTTGCCTGTCATGCGTCTCCGTTACTGTGGTAAGCAGGTATATATTAGCAATTATCTTCAGAAGTTTGGCTGCAATCTTAGCTTATTGAATCGATGCAATTGGATGCAGCCTATTTAGCCATTTAACTTTCGATTCACTCACATGCATTTTTCTTCTGTGAGCCTTTGTTGTGACTCTGTGTCATGAATCACAGAGCATGGCTGGGCAAAGATGGAGGGGCAGGGGATGGAGTCCAGTTCAAGCTATGTTGACAGAGGAGCTCTCCAAGCAAGTCTCAGGAGACTGAAAGTGGAGCCTCACCTTCCAGAAGGACAGTCTTGGGGAAACAATCAAATGGATTATAATAYGTGGCAGAATTAATTAAATGTCACATAGAGAGAAGCCAGAGAAGAAAGGAGAACAGGTGTGTGAGATAAGGAAAGGCCCCCATAGAAGTGGTATGGAGGAGGCTTTGGAAGAAGGATAAGTGAAGACAGGTGACAAGAGAAGGGGGCTTCAGAGGCGCAAAGCAGAGGAGCCCAGAATCTATTCTTAGAGGCTAATGGCTCACTTCTGTGGTTTGCATTTCCTTTCACTTGGGGAGTGAGATCTTAGATGGAGACACGGACAGGATTGGGCAACTATTTTTCATTATTCAAATGTTTGATGGCATCAGACTATTTCTAGGCTTCAGTGATTGATTTCCTCTGCTGATCAACAAAAAAAAAATGCTTCTCAATAAGTAAAGATGTTCAAAGATGTTCAGACATGAAGTCTGACTTGCTGATGCTGGAATCTGTTCTGGTCTTCACTCCCACACTCTGCGTTGACTTAATAGTTCAGGTCTGGAAGGGAGGGTTGCCTTGCTTGCTTTGGTTCTTTAATCATCACCTACTAGCTGCCCTGGTCCATGTGCCTTTGGTCATCTGGCACTCTCCCACAAACCCAAGATGCACCACTGCTGTCAAACTTAGTTTGCAAGCYGGACAGAAAGTGTTGGGACCCTTACCATTTCTATTTCCTTCCAATCTCCTCACGTCCCCATGTCTTATACAAATTAAAGCATGTTGCCAAGAACATATTCCGAGGGGATGGTGGTTCACCCCTGTAATCCCAGAGACCCAGGAGGCTGAGGCAGGAGAACCACAAGTTCAATACCAGCCTCAGTAATTTAGTGAGACCCTAACTCAAATTTTAAAATAAAATAAAAAGGACTGGGGATCTGGGGATGTAGCTCAGTGGTAAAGTACCCTGGGGTTCAATCCCCGGTACCAAATAAATACATAAATAAATAACCATCTACAATTTCATCTCCCTAGGGAAGACAGAATTGAAGGCAGCTAACCCTTAGAACAGGGTGTAGCATGGAGACCCTCAAGGAAGGAGCTGTTCTGGGCATTGCTGTCCTGTCCCTGGTTTCTGTAGACTGAAKTCTACTGCATGGCTGTAAGTCCAGGGCAGCAGCTGCTTGAGATGCCCAGAGGAACCCTTTCCAAATGGAGGTTTCCTACCCCTCACCCCTAGAAACTTGAATCCTTAGGTTTGGACTGTAGCCTATGAATCAGAACTTCTAACAAGCTCCCTGGCTTAAAGGAGTGAAAGTCTACAGGAAAAAAATAAGGTTTGGGGTTCTTTTTTTTCTGTATTATACCAAAGAAATATCATGAAAGCATTTATTTTTAGGGATGAATAAGTAGTTAAGGTTGAAGCTAGACAGCCTTCATCATAGCCAGGAAAAGGTGCCACGGACCCTGTAGTTCTCCCAGTTTCCCTTGCCACATGAAAATAAAAGAAGAATGTCACAGCACCCTGAATGTAGCATCTTCTTCAAAGTCCAGCATTTTAAGTTTTCTTCCTGTGGCCTCAACCCATGAGCAGGTAATGCGGATGTTAATTGGTATTACCTAGATCCAGACCAGAGGAGTTTAGGAAACTTATGATTGAGTGTATGCAAGCAGGTTTCTTTACTGTAGTGTAGTTTGAGCCTTTAAGATGGGTCCATATATTCAGGGTTTGGCCACAGAATCTTCCTGTCCCACCCACCCTTGCCTCCACAGATCTGTTAACATTTCGGGAAACTGATTTCTTTTTCTGAGACACCTTTCAGGATGTAATGGCCTAGGGTTTGTGGGCATATTCCTCTCCTCCACAGGAGAGGAGCCTGATATATTTAATGAACTGGGGTGCGGGGTGGGGTTCTCTCTTGCTTTTTCTCAACTACTTCTTTACTTCTGCTCAAGATCATGAAAATTCCTGAGTTCAGAAACCTAACTTTAAGGTGGATGATTTCTTCTTTTCCTAAATCATTTCTGCATCCCCATTAAACTGGGGAAACCAAAGAGACAGTACATTCTTGAAGTTTCCACCACTTGCACATTCAATTAGTAAGTGCAAAATCACTGTCGGAATAAATTATAATCTTATTAAAAGCAGATGTGAGAAATTTTTAAGAAAGCAAAGTCACACATTTTATGTTCCTTTGCAATCAAAATGAGTTTAGATTTCTAAAGGGTGTTAAAAATTAAGYGTTGTATTACATTTTTTTTAATTAGATCTTATTTTTTAGAGCAGTTTTAAGTTCCCAGCAAAATTGAGCAGAAGATACAGAGATTTCTCATGTGCCCCTGCCCCTTCCTGATACATTCATTGCAATTGAGGAACTACATTACCACATCCTTTTCAGTCATTATCCATAGTTCACATTACGATTCACTCTTGGTGTACTTTCTATGGATTTGTACAAATAAATAATGACATATATCATATGTATCAAACCACCATCATAGTATCAAACAGGGTATTTTTCACTGTCCTAAAAGCCCTCTGCATTACATGCATTTTAATCTTTTCTAAGCACATAATTTCTTCTTGCAACAAAACACAAGAGTTTACATGGCTTCACTGAGTCATGGTAACACAGACTCAGTGTCAATTTAGCCCCCGGAGATAATCAAAAACAAAGGACTTCTCTGTATAAGCACATGAATGGCAGCTGGCAGTGTCCAGGGACCCATTTGACTTCTGTGTTTGTCCCACTTTGGCAGAGTTGTCAAAGACTGGGCCATTTTCTTTATATCCCTTCCAGTGCTGCGAGCAGTCTAGGACCTGACACACTGTGAGTCCTGTTGGGTCATGTTATAGAACAACTCCAGGGTGAGGTCCTTTATTCCCCCTCAACTCACATGACAGATGACATACATACAACATACTTCCATAGATGCGCTTCAATCTAATAATACCCCAAACGATTTTGTAGAAAAGCAAACTTGATAGCATTATTTATATTGCTGTATTRTTTGTAAAAATGTTTCATAACCATGGACATATACTGGCTACTAAAAACTTTTAAAGGAAAAAAATCAATATGGCCTATATTTTATTAACTCCTTTGTACTTTGTTTTTTGTAATAAATCATGACTTTTGTATATATATTTTCACCAGATTGGCAAGCAAACAGTGATATTATACATACAAAAACATTTTTATTAAACACAGGCCTGGCAAAAACATACATAATACAGTTCACATGACCAATAGAAACAGTCTTTCTGTCGGAGAAAGTGTTATCCTGTAAAGCTTCTGAACAGACAGTCTGTGTTAATAAGGTCATATGTGGCTAGAGCAGAAAAATGTAGCTAATGGGACTTGGGAACAAAAATTTTAATTTTACAATTTAATTCATTTGCATTTAAATAGCCAGATGTGGCTAGTGGCTGTCATATCAGACATGGTAGGCCTGAAACATTTTTATTTGGGCACTGCAGTGTATGGCCAAGAACAGTGGGTAAGGATTTGCCTTTTATCAGCTGGTTTTCCCATAAAGAACAGCCCCCCATCTGGCTTCTAAAAGGGAACTTTCATCCTCTTTCCTAAAATGGCTGTAGCTCTTAAAGGTCTTTGTGTGTGTACATGCGTGTGCTGTGTGTGTGTGGTGCTGGGGATGGAACCCAGGGTTTTGAACATGCCTGACAAGCACTCTGAAACTGAGCTACATCCGCACCCATTCAAGGTCATTTTTTAAGTCCACCACAGTTACTTCCCCCACTAAATTCTCCTGGTTCTCTTCCCCAAGGTTGTCTTAGCATGGGCTGCTGTAATAAAATAACAAAGTTTGCTTTATATTAGGACTATGTGGTACTGGTGAAGGGAGAGATCATCAAATAAAGGAGTTATGGGCTTGGGGTGTAACTCAGTGGTAGAGCACATGCCTAGCCCTGTATGATGACCTGGGTTCAATCCCCAGCAATGTTAACAAAACAGGAAGGAGGAGTGGGGAGAGAAGGAAGAAGAGGAGGAAGAGAAGAAGAGAAGAACAAAATGGAAGAGAGGGAAAAAAAGCAGAGAGAACACGTCCCAATAAATTTTATGAGAACAGAATTAAGTTGATTTCAAAATCAAAGACATTGTGAGAAAGGAAAATAATAGATCGACATTCCTCATAGATACAAATTAGCCAAATGTTAATAATTCAACTCACACAATATAAGAAAAGGATTATACAGTGTGACCAAATGGGATTATCCCAGGAATGCAAGTTTGGTTTTAACATTAAAAAGAAATCAGTCCAAGAAGTTCACCCTATTAATGTACTATATGAAAAAATATGTGATCATCTTTATATATGCAGAAAAGGCATTTGACAAAATTTAACATCCAGTTGTTAAATATCAKAAAAACAGATAAAAGAGGTCATTTCCTCAACTTGAAGAACACCTAAGAAATTTTTGTAGTTAATGGTTAAAGTCCATTAAATGCTGTCCCTCTAAGTCTGGGAACAAAGCAAAGATGTCCACCCTCATTACTTTTGTTCACCATTGTAATGAAGGTCCTCAAGTAGTATGAGGATAGGAGTCTCAGGCAACAAAAGGTATGATAATCGTTGATTTTTTTTCTTTGCACTAAATTTAATCTTTACACTTCATGTTATTTTATTAAATAATTGGATATTTGAAGGAAAACTTAAATTCATATATAAATTATAACAACAAATTATCATATAACTCCAGACAAGAGAAAGACCATATTATCTCAGAATTCTCAGAAGTCCTGTGTGGGTTCAAGTATACAAGTAATAAACAACATCCTCTTTTCAGATACAGAGATTCCACATAGTAAGAACAATATTTTTCTATTTTAACCTAACAGTATTCATTTCAGTAGATCCTTCAGGAAATCTCCCAGAAGAAACCTGTTCACCTAATTTGAATGTAGTTAAAAGTAATAACTTTGGTGGCAGATGTGGTACCCTTGTACTTCCTGTTGAGCCTTGATGTGGCCTCAGACTCCTTCACTGCTCTGGTCAGTTACTCCAATAAATCTGAGTAGGCACAAGGGGGAAACCTATTTTCTATCACTGTTAATAGAGTCCTTTTACTTGAAAGGTAACATATCTGTGATTCAGGCTGTATTCACTCATTTAGACTGACCCATCTAGCACTGATCTGATTAAGGATGTCTGTCTTTCCTTTAAAATGTTAAGATATTCATACTTTAAAAGAGTTCAGCCATTAGAATCTACAGTGTAGAAAGAGTATGTGTAAACCGTGAGCAATGGCACACACCTGTAATCCCAGCCACTCAGGAAGCTGAGTCAGGATGATCAAAAGCTTGAAGCCAGCCTGAGCATCTTAGAAAGCTCCTCTCTCAAAACAAAGGAAGGTCCGGAGATGTAGCTCAATGCTACAGCACTTGCCTAGCATGCACAAGGCCATGGATGCCATCACCAGGAACACAAAATTTAAAAAAAAAAAATGTATATATGTGTGTGATAACTATCTATGTAAAGTTCATAAAGAATCTATTAGTTTAATCTACATTCTGTTAATCAGGAGTCTCTGGATATCATTCAGGTCACTGAATTGCATTCATCATGAGGTAGGTGCACTTAACATTTTTTAACAGTTCCAAAAGTTAAGGCAAAGATTCGGACCCAGAATTCTACAGGGCAAGTCACAAGCAAGTGCAAAGGCAAGTCCAGACCCCAAGGGAGAGGGTTTGCGCACAGGCTGGCACTCTGCACTTACAGAGTGAGCCAGACCCTGCAGGGTACCCTTATAATTCACAGCAACCTGAACCACTGCATTAGAAATGGGGGCCTTCTGGATGAAGAAGAAGGGAGGAGGGGAGAGTGTGGGGAAGTACTGGGGAGCAAAATCTAGCAAATTATGCTATGTGCATGTACAAATATACCACAATTAAGCCCGCTTATATAGGATGATAATGCACTAATTAAAATTATAGCAATGATGATGGGAGATCAGTAGAGAAGAACAAGTTGATCTGGGGCAGAGAAGAGGAGAAGAAAGGGGAAGGTATTGGAGAAGAAGACAGCAAATTGGGTTATGTGCATGTACGAATATAGCATAATGAGTCCCACTATTATGTATAACTATAATGCACCAATAAAAAATTWAAAACAATAGAAAGGAAAAGAAAAAAAGAGATGGGGTCTTCAAGAAATTGCCACAATTTTGACAGAACCAAAATTGCAAAGTTTAATTTAAAGATGGTTTTTGATGTAAACCCTTCTTTACAAATTCCATCTAGCAGTTGAAAGAGGATCCCCTTAAAGTTGACTGCATATATCCATCACCCTGATCTATTGGAGGAAATAGGTCTTTRTAGGCTTTGGCTTCTGTATTTCTTTATTTGTGGGGGTGCAGGGCAGATACTGGGGATTGAACTCAGGGACCCAGGGGCACTTGACCACTGAGCTACATCTCCAGCCCTATTTTGTATTTTATTTAGAGACAGGGTCTCACTGAGTTGCTTAGCATCTCACTTTTGCTGATGCTGGCTTTGAACTTGAGATCCTCCTGCCTCAGCTTCCCCAGCCGCTGGGATCACAAGCGTGTGCCACTGCATCCGTTGGCTTCTGTGTTTCTGAGCTGCAAGCAGAAGCCTGGAGGGCTGCAGGAGAGTCAAGCTTTGGAGTAAGGTTGTAGCAGATATCATTCACAGATGATTTAAGGTCCACAGTGGAAAGAGGTTGTGTTTTCCAAAACACTATCAGCAGACAGTTGAGACTAACATTGCTGGAGCAGGGAATGTTTTTAAGGACCACACTGTGTGACACAGACTTTGCAAAGAATACTGAACAGGACAGTCCTTGTGGCATCCACCGCTGGTGACACCTCCCATTGCCTGGGTGGGGGAGCCAGAGGAATSTGAGGCAGATTGTTTCCAAGGACCTCCTGTCCCCTAACTCTTCCCCCTCTCACTCTCTCACTTCAGGGGGAGCTGACCATGACCGGCGACATGGAAAACTTACAGAACRCCCTGTACCTAGATATGGTGCCAGAGCCCTGGGCCAGGCGAGCCTACCCTTCCACAGCGGGCCTGGCAGCCTGGTTTCTAGATCTCCTCAACAGAATCAAGGAGCTGGAGACGTGGACAGGTGACTTTGCAATGCCCTCTACTGTGTGGCTGACAGGCTTCTTCAATCCCCAGTCCTTCCTGACTGCCATCATGCAGTCCATGGCTCGTAAGAACGAGTGGCCACTGGACCAGATGGCCCTGCAGTGTGATGTGACAAAGAAAAACAGAGAGGAGTTCCGGAGTCCTCCTCGGGAAGGGGCCTACATTCACGGCCTCTTCATGGAAGGTGCCCGCTGGGACACACAGGTAAGGCCTGGGACRAGCCAAGGAGTATTCTCTGGTGGGCTGATTAAATAAATGTTGCCTCCCATAAAGTCTGACTACTAAAGGAGATGYCCCTGAATCTTCCTACCTAGATAACCTTTCTTTCTTGGAGGTCATTTTTACTCAGTCAAGGGTAGTGGAGAGAACATAGACTTTGCAGATGGAGTAGAACAGAGCGGCTGAAAGCGAGCACTCTGAGCCAGACTGGCTCACTCTGAAAATCATCACCACCATTTAGTAACTCTGTGATCTTGAGTGTCGTTTGACCTCGTAAGATCTCAGTGTACTCAACTTCTAAATGGGAAAGTAGAGACACTGAAAATCGAAGAAGGTACTATGTAAGACTCTTGAAAGACGCCTGGCACATCGACTGTGCTGGAAAGTGCTAGGGACAGGCATCTCTGCTGTGATCTCAGGATATTCTTTAACCTCTCTGGTCCCACCTTCCTCATCTATGAGCTCTAGATAGGCAGGAATTCCTTCTGCCTTTTATATTGTTCTATATCAGCAAAAAAAAAAAAAGAGCCCAGAGATGTCATCTAAAGTGAATTTAAAAAAAAAATCTTCACTGAAAGCTAATAAAAATTAGCCAAGTCACCATAGATTGGAGATGTTTAGTCACAGTTAAGAAACTGGCAAACAGGCACCGATGGCTGAAGTAACCAAATGAGCAAAGGATAACTCTAAAGCAAGTTTACACTTGGTGTACACATGATCTAGAAAGTCTACCTAGTGCCGTATCCCACTCAGTGGATGACACTAAACTATTCCCAGAAGACAATACTAATCTGACCATGCAAAACTGTTAAAAGATCTTGAATACACCGGAAGTTCTATGAATATGCATATGAAAATGTATAGGGTTCAATGGTGTCCCTCCCAAAATTCACATCACCCAGAAGAAAAATGAAACCTTATTTATTTAGAAATAGGGTCTTTGCAGATGTAAGATGAAACCATACTGGATAACCACAGACCCTAAGTCCAATGACTGGACCCTTCAAGAAGTCCTTGGGGAGACATTAAAGAAAATGCCTTATGAATACAGCAGCAGAGGTGAGTGTGATGTGGGTGCCAAAGAATGCCAAGGATTACCAGCAGCCACCAGATACTAGAAGTTTCTCCCTCAGAGCCTCCAGACAGACCACYCTGTCTACTCCTTAAGACCTCCAGCCTCCCAAACTGTGAGAAAGCRAGTTTGTTTATTTTAAGCCACCAAAGCTCATATGGCAATTTGTTAGACCAGTCCTAGGAAAACAATGAGAGAGCCAACAGAAAGGACAGTAAAGTAAAACAATATTCAAACAGCCCACATTTTAAGAGGGTTTCTCTCTCCATCTGAACCTTTGTAGAAGTCTGTCCATTGAGATCTCATACAGATTTTACTAGGTGCACGGTGGCCCAGGGCACTGAGCTAGGATCCCCAAGAACACCAAAATGAGACAAGTACAAAAAGGGAAACAGGAAAGAAGCCCAGAAGGAAGGGCAGTAACACTCTGGAAGAGTAAAAAGTATGTCAATTCTAATCACTAMCCTCTCATTTTTTCATACCTTATGGCAAATTATAATTTTCCAAAAATCAATATCTGTCCCCCATTAACTCTTATTTTCAAGTGTTCTATCCCAGAAAGATGTCAGCAAAAATGAAAGTCAGTTTTGGGATATAGCTCAGTGTACAGCAAGCCCTTGTCTAGCAAGTGTCAGGCCCTGGGTTTTATCCTCACAACCATACACACAGAAAAAAAATGGAAGAGTCAGGAAGTCTCCAAAAATTTTCCCTTCCATAAAACAGTACTAGCAAAAAAAAAAAAAAATTAGAATGAACTTTTATCAAAACTCTGGAAACTAATCAAAGGCTTTCAGCAATCCAAAGAGTTATTCAAGAAAAAATGGCTGAATGCCAGTGAGAAACTTTGTAGCCATTTCTTTTCTTTGGGGGGTGTGTGTGTGTGTGTGTGTGTGTGTGTGTGTGTGTGTCTGTCTGTCTGTCTGTCTGTGTCGGGGGTACTACCAGGGCCTCAAACAAGCTAGGCAAATGCTCTGTTGCTGAGCAACATCCCCAGCCCTTTTTATTTTGAGATAGAGACCCAAAAAGTTCCCAGCCAGGCCTCAAACTTAGAATCCCCCTGCCTCAGCTTCCCARGTAACTGGGGTTATAGGCCTGTGCCACTGTGCATGACAGCAGAAGAGAAAATCATCTCATTGCTTACCATTCTCATCTCTCATTCTCATYAATGAGAATAATAACTGACTTCTCATCAGAAACCATGAGTCCCAGAAGGCAGGAGGATTACATAGACAAAAAGCTAAAAGAAAAGATAGTCTATACACAGCAAAACAAAAATGAAGAAATAAGACATTTCCAGGATGGAGAAGAGAGAAATAGGAATTTGTCMCTAGCAGACCATCCTTCCAAGAAATACTAGAGGGAAATAAGAGTACAGGGAGGGAATGGGGGAGAGAGGAGGGAAGGGAAAGGGAAACTGGGGACTGAATTAGAACAATTTATATTCCATGATTTTATAATTATATCAAAATGAATCCTAATGTTCTGGATAACTGAAAGAGAACCAATTAATAAAAGGAAAAAATAAATACTAAAGGGAATCCTTCAAGTTGAAACAAAAGAACACTAGACAGTAACTCAAGTCTACCTGAAGAAAAAAGTATAAGTGTATGGATGCACTTTTAATTTTTAACCTTTATTTTTCTCCTGAGTTAAAGGACAACTGTATAAGGCAATAGTTATAAATCTGTGTTGATAGGCATAAAATACATATATAAATAAATATGTGATTTGAATGATGAAAACAACCCAGAGGGAGGGAATGAAGCAAGGATTTATATACTATTGAAATTAAGTTGGAATTAATTTGAGGTATACTGTTATATGTTGAATGTTTTTTATAATCCCCAAGGCAACCACTGTGAAATAATTTTATAGTGAATTAGAAGATATCTATGAACATGAAAGAAGACTAATGTAAGAATTGAGGAATAAAAGCAAATACCAAAGTAGCAGACTTAAGTCCTATTTGATCAGTAATTACATTAAATATAAATGGACTAACTTATAATGAAAAGGCAGAATGAAATTTGTTCTTTTTAGTTACACATGACAGTAGAATGCCTTTTGGCCTATCATACATACATGGAGTATAACTTCCCATTCTTGTGGTTGTACATGATGTGGAATTACACTGGTAGGATATTCATATGTGAACATACCACATTGTGCTTTATATGTACCACATTTTCTTTATTTGTAGAAGAGCACCTAGGTTAGTTCCATAGCTTAGCTATTGTGAATTGAGCTGCTATAAACATTGATGTAGTTGCATCACTATAGTATGCTTATTTTAAGTCCTTTGGCCAAGAAAGGGGATAACTGTGTCAAATGGTGTTTCCATTCCAAATTCTCTGAGGAATCTCCATACTGCTTTCAAGGGTAATTGCACCAATTTGCAGTCCCACCAGTAATGTAGGAGTGTGMCTTTTTCCCCACATCCTCACCAACCTTGTTACTTGTATTCTTGATAATTGCCATTCTGACTAGAGAAAATTAAATCTTAGTTTTAATTTGCATTTCTGTAATTGCTAGAGATGTTGAACAATTTTTCATATATTTTCATATATTCATATTTCTTCTTTTGTGAAGTATCTGTTCATTCAGTTCCTTTGCCCATTTATTGATTGGGTTATTTGGGGTTTTGTTTKGTTTGGTTTGGTTTGGTATTAAGTTTTATGAGTTCTTTATGTATCCCAGAGATTAATGTTCTGAGGTGCAGGTGGTAAAGATTTTCTCCCATTCTGTAGGCTCTCTTTTTATGTTCTTGATTATTTCGTTTGCTATAAAGAAACTTTTTAATTTGATAAAAATCCCATTTATTGATTCTTGATTTTACTTCTTGTGCTTTAGGAGTCTTGTTGAGGAATCCAGTTCCTAAGCCGACATGATAGAGATTTGGACCTACTTTTTCTTCTAGTAGGTACAGGGTCTCTGGTCTAATGCCTAAGTCCTTGATCCACTTTGAGTTGAATTTTGTGCAGGGTGAGAGATAGAGGTCTAATTTCATTTTATTACACATGGATTTCCAGTTCTCCCAGCACCATTTGTTGAAGAGGCTATCTTTTCTCCAATGTATGTTTATGGTGCCTTTGTCTAAGTGAGATAACTGTATTTATGAAGRTTTGTATGTATGTCTTCTATTCTGTRTCATGGGTCTTCATGTCTGTTTTGGTACCAATATGCTGTTTTTCTTACTATAACTGTAGTATAATTTAAGATCTAGTATTGTGATGCCTCCTACTTCACTTTTCTTGCTGAGGATTGCTTTGGCTATTCTGGACCTCTTATTTTTCCAAATGAATTTCATGACTACATTTTCTATTTCTGTGAATAACATCATTGGAACCTTAATAGGAATTGCATAAAATCTTTATAATGCTTTTGGTAGTATGGCCATCTTGACAATATTAATTCTGCCTATCCAAGAACACAGGGGATCTTTTTCCATCTTCTAAGGTCCTTTTCAATTCTTTCTTTAGTGTTCTGTAGTTTTAATTGTAGAAGTCTTTCACCTCTTTTGTTAGATTGATTCCCAAATATTTTATTTTCTTTTAGGATAATGTGAATGGGATAGTTTTCCTAATTTCTTTTTTCATTTTGATTCATCACTGATATAGGAACACAATTGATTYATGGGTGTTAATTTTATATCCTGCAACTTTGTTGAATTCATTTGTGAGTTCTAGGAGTTTTCTGGTATAGCTTTTTGGGTCTTCTAAATAAATAATCATGTTGTCAACAAATTGGGATATTTTGAGTTCCTCTTTTCCTATTTGTATCCCTTTAATTTCTTTCTCTAATTGTTCTGGCTAGAGTTTCCAGGACTATGTTGAATAGAAGTTGCAAAAGGGCATCCTTGTCTTGTTCCAGTTTTAAGAGGGAATGCTTTCAATTTTTCTCCATTTAGAATGATAGTGACCTTGGGCTTAGCATATACAGCTTTTACAATATTGAGATATGTTCCTACTACCCCTAGTTTTTTCTTGTTTTTTGAACGTGAGTGAATTATTGTAGTTTGTCAAATGCTTTTTTCTGCATCTATTGAGATAATCATGTGATTCTTGTCTTTAAGTCTAGTGATGTGATTAATGTTTATTTATTTCCATATGTTGAACCAAACTTTCATCCCTGAGATGAACCCCCCTTGATCATGGTGCACTATCTTTTAAGTATGTTTTTGTGGGCAATTTGCCAGTATCTTATTAAGAATTTTTGCATCTATGTTCATCAGGGATATTGGTCTCAATTTTTTTCCTTGATGTGTCTTTGTCTGATTTTGGTATCAGGGTGATACTAGATATCTATGAACATGAAAGAACACAAGTGGAAGAATGAGGAACAAAAGCAAATACTGAAGTAGCAGACTTAAGTCCTATTTGATCAGTAATTACATYAAATATAAATGGATTAATCCTCATAATGAAAAGGCAGAATGAATTTTAAAAAACAAATGATAAACCCACCCATGATCCAACTGTAAGCTGTTTATAAGAGASATTTAAGATTCAAAGACATAATGGGTTGAAAGTAAACAGATGGAAGAAAATGCGCTATGAAAACAGTAACCAAAAAAGAGCGTAGGGACTAAACTATTATCAGATACAATAGACTGTATAAGACAAACACTGTTGCATTCCTGGAGAAAATGTAAGAGAGAGAAATTAGAGACAAAGTAGGACATTTTATGACAAAAAGGTCAAGCSATCAAAAAGATAAAATGAGTATAAACATATATGAACCTAACAAAAGAGCCCTCAAAATATATGAAACAAAAGCAAACAGGGTTGAATATCCAATTCAACCAGTGCTAATGATAAATGCTAATGGTTACAGARTTTCTTTTTGGGATGATAAAAATGATCTTGAATAATGATTGGTAATGATTACACAGATTTGTAAATATGTTAAAAACCAATGAATTTTACACTTAAAGAGGATTAGTTTTAGCCAAATGTGTGGAGGCATACCTGTAAATTCAGCTACTCAGAAGGCCGGGGTAGTAGGATCACAAATTTGAGGCCAACCTAGATAGTTTAGTGATACCCTGTCTCAAAATTAAAAATGTGGGTATAGCTTGGTGATAGAGCACTCTTGGGTTCAATATCCAATACCAAGAACAACAACCAAACAAATTGAAAGGSGTTGGTTTTAGAGTATGCAAAATAAAAAAAGAAAAATAAAAAGTTCTATCTCTGTTCTTACTCCTTATCATAAACACTAAATTTTGGAGGACAAGGGGGCCCCCACTGCTCATTTTCATTCTGGTACTCACCATGCCTTGTATCAGCCTCTAAATGAACTGAAAAGGCACATCTTTCCCTTTAAATAAACTTCATGAAAACAAAACAAACACTATCTACAACATAGGAGCTCACATGAYATAACACAACATGGACAGCATTAAGGAATTTGTGAATCACTCTGGATCATCATTTCCCAAAGTACGTTCCATAAAACAGCAGCATCTATGAGATGAACAGACTATGAAAAAAAAAGTGGGTGGGAGGGTTCCTGTGGTCCTGTTTAGAAAAAGATAATTTTTATCATCCCAAAAAGAAACTCTGTAACCATTAGGTTAAATATAGTTAAACTATTCATCTTTACTGCAAGAACTTCTTGCCTTCAGTGTGGCAAGTATACATTGTCAAGCTTCAAGTACATATCAATGGTGTGATGAGCACCATTTCCCAAATTTATTCAACCAAGGGACTCTCTTGTTCCTCAGAACATTTCTCAGGACTAGTAGAAAAAACTCAAGTCAACTAGAGTACTCTATTGAGACATCTCAGAAAATCATAGGGAGTTGGGTGACRGATATAGTTCAGTGGTAGAATGCTACAAGGAAGGAAGGAAACTCTAGGGAGGCTCCATCTGGAAAGTTAAAAATGGTTATATCTTTATTATATGATTAAAGTTAGATTATATATCTCTCTCTGCTCAAAAAGTTGACATAATCTAGAAGTGGATGAAATCGCATATGAAACTGAAGAGACGCAGAAACAGCACATAATCAAAGCCTTAAGAGCTAAAGCATTTGCACAGTTAGCATCTGTGTCTTCATCCTCTTTAAATTCCCAACACCTAGTATGACATCCATCAAACAGCTGCACTCAATAGTCTTATAAAAACGAATGAATGAGAAAACTAGGGCAAAGTCAAGCACCAATAATAAATAAAAAAAACTTCTGGAACTCTATATCAAGAGGTGATTTTAGCCTGAAAAAATAGAAATGCATTTTCCCAGTATCAGATGCCTTCCACTGTGGGTGATAGAAACCAGAAGAGGGCAGGCAGAAAGGCAGCCAAGGACATCCCACTCTCTCGTTCCTTGGATCTTCTAACGGAAGCAAGGATGGCTGGCTGGGCTCTGGGTCTGATCTAAGATGGTTCTTCTCATGTTCTTATCCTCAGGCTGGGATCATTACAGAGGCAAAGCTGAAGGACCTGACACCCTCCATGCCTGTGATGTTCATCAAGGCCATTCCTGCAGACAAGCAGGATTGCCGCAGTGTCTATTCTTGTCCAGTGTACAAGACTTGTCAGCGGGGACCCACTTACGTGTGGACTTTCAACTTGAAGACTAAGGAAAATCCTTCCAAGTGGGTTCTAGCTGGAGTAGCCTTACTTCTCCAGATTTAGCTTTCTGAGAAAACAAGAAAAGAGGGTAGGCCAGAGGCTCCCTGTCAGACAGGTGGGTGAGGGTTACCACAGACACTTAGATAAGAAATCATAAGCACTCAACTTCTGTGGGATTCCCCTATGGGACATGAGAGAAGGGTGCCTAAAAGTGAAGCTGAGCTGGCTTTTGGGCCCAGGACCTCTGGTAGGAGAATTTGTAGTACTGAACCTCTTCTAATAAAGTGATTTATTCTTCAACTGTGTCTAGTCCAGACTTTTGGGAGTTTCTGAGTCATCAGGGATTAGGAAAAGTCCAAGAGAAACAAGCCACAAACACAAGCCCTGTTACATGATGCTATCCTCAATGCTCTAGCTCCCAAGGACCCCAAGCAGAATTGGCATCACCCGTGAATCAGCATCTCCATCTTCTTCAGCTGTCTGGGTGATTTGCCTGCATGTTATAGAAATACTGCACTTGATTAGAGGGTCACCCAAATTTTTCTGTAAAGAGCCAGAGAGCAAATATTTGAGGGTTTGTTTGCAGGTCATATTGTCTGTTTCAACTACTCTGCCATTGTAGCCCAAATGCAGCCTAGACAATATGTAAATGAACAGGTGGGCTGCATTCCCATGAACCTTACAGAAACAAGCAATGGGTCATTTTAATGATCCCTATTGTAAAGGCTAAGGGAAGTACATATGTGATGTTGATCTTTCATTAATTCACATATCTACTGTTTTTGTCTAACCTCTACAATTTTCTGAGAATACAACTGTGAACAAGCAAGCAGGTTGTTTCTCTGTATCTCTATTATTTTAAGATTACTTAAGAGGGAGAAACTCTTCCTCTAAAAGTGTAGATGAGTTTTCAGGACTCCAAGAGGCTATTTGGTAAGAAAAGTCTGGGAGGCTTTCCTCTGGGATMATTATTGCTTCATATTCTTGCAGACTTTATTATTATTATTAATTGCTACTTAATACAGTGGTTCTTAAACTAGAGCAGGTATTAACAAGTCCTCCAGGGAACTGAGAATATCTGATTTCATAGCCTTAACAAAATGACACTGCTGCTGGTCTGGAGGCCATACTTTGAAAACTGGATTTAAAACACCAAATTGGGCTGAGGATGTGGCTCAGTGGTAGTGTTTGCCTGGCACAAACAGGCCCTGGGTTCAATCTCTAGCAAAACACAACAGACACACATAACCCAAGTCCCATAATTCTATAAATCACTGTTATACAACATATAGAATCTAGTGCCAAATTTTTCCATGATTTTCCTGCTTTCTTCCCTACAGATCTGCCTCCCCTTAAGTGGAGTTTTACTCCTCATCTTCATGCTATAAGGGAGTTAACAAATTGCTCTTGGACTCCAGGAACTCTAACTAAAATTGTGTCCCTTCTCCCCAACAACTAATACTTCCCATTATTTACCAACATCCTCTAGTTTCCTTCATATTGGTTAACCTGTCTTCAGAGAAACCGCTCTGCCCTTCTCATTAGCATCATTGCTCCTGACCCTCACACAAAACAGGGCAAGAGGGCCCCTCGAGAACACTAAGGTGGTTGAGGAGAGACATCTCACTGTAATGAAAGCAGGACACTTTGAGGCAGGCAGTTTTCGAAGATAAGGACAGTGGATGGGTTAGATAGATATGTTAATAAACCTCCAGACAGTATTAAAAACTAGATCAATACTATCGATTTCTTCCTAACACCTACTGGCAAAATAAGATAATAAAGATCATTTTAAAGCATAGAGTACAGTAGYAAATATGATAAACCAAGTAGCATGCTGGGAGGAAAAGAGGAAGTTTGAGGCACATGATCGAGTGGCAAGGAGATTCAAAAAAGGCATACCAAAGACAGATACAGCTGAGAAAAAGTTGTGCCCAGCACTGGTCCTGCACTCATGGCCTGAACTATAGTGGAGCACTTTCCTATTGGTGTGCTGAAACATTACAAACTTGTAGGTTTATATGGGCTGGTCTTGAAGATCAACTCCCATTTACATTCTTCAATGGAAAAATATGTTTGGAGGATAGGGCATGGGAATAATCCCAGCAGCTCAAAAGGCTGAGGCAAGAAGATCCCAAGTTTAAAGCCAGCTTCAGCAATTTAGCAAGGTAATGAGGTAACTTAGTAAGACCCGTCTCAAAAAATAAATAAATAAATAAATAAATAAATAAACAAATAAAAAGGGCAGAGGTTATGGCTCAGTGGTTAAACACCCCAGGGTTTAACTCCCGGTACAAAAAATAATACCAAAAAATATGTTTTGGGTTACAGTCAATGAACACTTCAGACACAGATACAATAGGGAGTGACTCAACCAAGTTTATTTCAAACAAAAGACACTTGAAGTTAACTTTTTTACCTATGTGAGCTCACTGGCCCTCTATGCCTCCCCTTCTGCATCAGGATACCTGCTCTAGAACCCTAATCCTCAAGGACTGATTTGAGGTTCTTCCCACAAGCAATGATTGCAGCCACTTGGTTAAACTCTCTCCAGGGAGCATTTCTAAAACCAACCTCTAAGTGAAACTTTGCAACAGGTCCAAAAAAAGAGATGGCMTGAAACAAAAAAAAACAAAACTAATCTTTCTYCTGATAAAGAAGCAAGAATTTAAGCCACTGTAAAATCTGATCCAGAGGTTGATACATCTTCCAATCCAAAACCATGTCCAGGTTCTCTTCCTCCCATCCATGAAAAGAGATAACAAGATATCCTTTTAGGAATGCTGTTCCTCCAGGTAGGACTGAGCATTTTTAAAATAGAGCTGGGGACACACGGGGTCTGAGCGAGCATGGCTACTGAAAAGGCTTCTTTCCTAAGTGGGATCTCTGATGTTTGTCAAGGCTTGAGCTCCAGCTGAAACTTTTGCCACAGTGGGAACATTTATAAGGTTTCTCTCCTGTGTGAACCCTCTGATGTCTATTAAAGTTCGACCTCTGAATAAAGCTTTTCTCACAGATGGGACATTTATAGGGTTTCTCTCCTGTGTGGATTTTCTCGTGGTGGCGCAATCCTGAGAAGTCACTAAAGCCTTTCCCACAGTAATCACATTTACAGGGCTTCTCTCCTGTGTGTGTTCTCTGATGTTTCACAAAGTCTGAGCTCCGCAGAAAGGCTTTTTTGCAGATGGGGCACTGAAAGTATGTCTCTCCGGTATGAGTTCTTTGGTGAAAAACCAACTGTGAATTCCTATAAAAGGTTTTCCCACACTCCCTGCAGGTGGGGAGTTTCTGGGCCATGGGGGCTCGAGGCTGCCCCTTCTGACTGGCCTCTCTTTTCTCCTCCAACCACATGGCAGACAGTTCTGCTGGAGGTGGATTTGGCATAGACTGACCTACTTGCTTCTCAGAACTCCTTCCATGAGGAGAGAGTTGTTCCCCTGCCCCCTCACCCTGAAGGTTTTCTGGTGCCTCAGGAAGATTTTCCCCTTCTCCAAAGTGTCCAGAGTCATCTTCACTGAAGAAGTCCTTCAAGGCAGGCTGAGGAAGTGCCTCACCCAAGGTGTGACATGAAGCAACCAGTGGTTCCTGGTCCCTGTGATTTTCCAAGTTCAAGTTCTCTTTGTCGTTCTCTTGTCTATCTCCTGAAAGAAAATTTGAAATGGTTCAATGTTATGCCCTGTTTTCTAACTCATCTCTCAAAGAAGGGGTCACCAGAAAATATTCTTCTTACCAAGATAGCATTAGTGAGACAAAAAGAAAACTGTCACGCAGCCTGATGCTCCACACTCGCTTCAACTGCACTGGATTCAGGACTATGTGTTTCAGCTCTAGAGCTAAGAACTTCTGAATAGCAAATGGGGGCTCACAGCAGGCTTTTCTGACCCCTCCACAAATCAGCAGCAAGCATTTCTTAAGGGCCAGGAAAAGTATACTATGCACCAGAAGTACTTTTAAAAATGATCTTTAAAAGAATTTGGAAGGAGAAAAAAGTATATACAGGAAAACCAAATCAACCTCAATTGTATTAACCAGATAGAAATGAACATATGCTTCCTCCCAGACTATTACTTAATCTATTGTAAATGCTATTTCAGATACAGATGATATTATATTATATATATAGTCTATATCTGGTTATGTAGCATTTAAATTGTAAATAGTAGTACTGGTCAATTTAACATGGATTCCCCCATTTGCAAGTAATTCAAAAATTCATGAAATTCATTAAGATGTTATTTTCCTATGGGTGCAATGCAACAGGACTTCAGTGTAAAAGTAAATTCTTCAGTCTTTGCTTGAATCCAGTATTTACATGTGCTTTATTTTAGAGATGAGTTCTCACTCAACTCAGGCTAGCCTCAAACTCAGTGATTCTCCTTCCTCAGCCTCTCAAGTAGCTGGGACTATAAATGTGGGCCACTGTACCCAGTTACCTATGCCTTATGAACTCACATAAGCAGTTATATTTATTTTCTCATAATGTAGGTTTTCAATTATTTACTGCTTACAGATGCATATGATAAAGATTTTTATTTTGGCTGTAGGATTTTTTCAACTTTTATAAATTATCCCTTAGATCTAAAGAGGCTGTTTAACTTTCTCTTTCATGGATTCATGTCTTTCCAATTATCTGCCAGAGATTTAGGCTTCTGCTACAGAACTAGGACTGAACTTGTTTATCCTCAAAGCTTTAGAACATGTTCCACTCAAATGGCAAAGGTACTGTCACTTTTCTTTTAAAAAGACTTTATAAATAGCATCTTAAAGAACTGAGTAATGGCCCATTAGGAAGGTGTCATAATAAACACATGAAGTATTTAAGAATCCTCTTACTGTGGAAATCTATGTTGTTTATTATGTCTTTGCTACTATAAATATGCTGTGATAATCACTTTTCTTCATAAGTTTTTGCCCACAATTCTGCTTAACACTTTAAAGGAATTCTTCTTCAAAGTGGAATTACTGTGTCAACGGGCATGAATATTAAAGCTCTTGACACCTACTGGCAACCTGATTTCCTGAACAACTCTGGCATATTCTAGTATGTGAAACAGGGCAGAGGGGGAGCTGAATAAAGACTCAAATATTCAATGCTTTTAAAATATATGCCATATATAGAGGAAAGGGGCCAAGTAGAGGGAGAAGGAAAGGGAAAGGGGAATACTGGGGAATGATGTTGGCAAATTATATTGTTATATTTTGTGTGTATACAAATATGTGTCAATGAATCCCACTATTTT